AGTGGTCTCTTCTTGGGACTTGTTGGTTCTGCAAGATTGAACATGTAGTGATTTATGGTAAAGGAAAGCATTTCAGAAATCTTCTGAAAAAAACCAAACACTTCCTACCATGTAAGTTCAAGGACGAGTCCTAGTTTATCCAAAGCCACTGCTATGCTAGAGGGTTTATTTATTGCTGTGACTTAAACTTTTCAGATGTTCTAAAATACCAACTTTTAAGAGCTTCTTCCCTGTATAACTTTAGTGCAGGAGAGCACGTAAGAAGATGAAGGAATACAATCTCACAGGAGGTTTCACTATGTTTTGTTTAAGCAGGACAGAGTGAGCAGAAGCTTCGCTCTTCATCTTCTGCAGTATGGAGAACTATTATTCTTCTCCTATCCTCAAGGGAAAAAAAATTCGCCACTCAAGACTGGGTATATGCACAGTTATGTAATGTCTGACAACCACCATTTTTTGATGCAGAATGCCTTGAACAGCTCTGCAGTACAGCCTCAGCTAGCTAGTAATTATTTTAATAACTTCTTGGACAGTTATGGAAGGAATCACGGATAAGACCCTTACAGTTACTTGGCTGATACTGACAAAGGGCAGAAATACTACAATGTAGGGCCAAATCTGAAACACAGGGAAGAAACATGAATATTTATCCAGAAAATAGTTCCATGTACTAAAGAAGCTGCATCCAGTACACAGAATGACATACCTGTTTTCGTATCAACTTCGCCACCTTCCTCTTCATTATCAAACTTTATCTTCTTACCCTGAAACTGTACTTTCCCTTTGTGCACACCCTGAGGTACCTTTCCCCCTCTTCCTTTTCCTTTCATTTTGCGTCCTGTGAGGATAAAAGATGTCAGGAACTTTGTATCATTTGTCTTCTAACTGACAAGCTCAAAAGAATGCTTTACGTTTAGTGTTTAGTATGTATTCACTATTTACAGTTACTGTCACACAATGTTACTTCTAGGACGTTAATAAATACTTAAACCAATGAAAAGGAGGACCTTTTGTTTTCTGTTTGAGCAATTCTTGCTGATCTTCCAGTATTTTCTTCAGAGCTTCTTTTTCTGCATCTCCTTCTAGCACTTCCCATGTAACATCCTTGCTCCGAAGCTGTAGGTTTCCGTTGTGTGCTGCCTTGGCTTTTTCCAGAGCTTCTTTTGCAATATCCTTAAATAGGATGATTCCCTTAAAAAGAAGAGTGGCATTTGCACTTGAATCTTACTGCAATAGCATTTGGCTACAATGATGAACGACATATGCTGTTAGGTACCTCAGCAATTTCATTACTCTTACAGATTGAAACAAAACCCTCAGACTGTCCTAACAAACATTCGTACTGGCAGTTTTGAACTTATGAACTCAGAAGGCTGGAACCTTTACCTGTTCTTTTGAAAAAAAAATTATGGAAGTAATCTAATTCTTTAAATACTCTGCAATTCCACAATTCAAAGAAATTCTTATTTATTAGAACAAGCATTGAATCATTCAGTTTCAAACTTTAATATAGAGATCTTAACTTCTTGTCCAAGATTCTACTGACCTCCTTTGCACCTCTGACAAAATGTATCCATTTGATTTCTCCATGATGAGAAAATACCTCATGGAGATCTTCTCTGCATGTTTGGTCATCCAGATCACCAGAAAACTTCAAAAGACATCCTGTCTTTTCTTCTAGAGACTTCTAAAAGAATAATAAAAAAACCCACAAGCTTGAATGTTCATCCTATCCTCAATCCTATTAAAACATGATAGTGATAAATAAACAATTGAAATCACCCCCTCCTTAGCACCATCAGTAACCCATGCATTCTTGCTACGTAGCTTATTTATGCTCATCTCCATGTCTTGCTTGGTATGTCCCCCCCTTTCTTTTCTTCCTTTTTAAAGTTTTTTTGCTTACTATGATACATTTATGTAGAACTTAGAACTCCTTTCCCCTAAGACAGTTACACTTTTTAAATTCTACAAAACTGTTTCCTGAAGCTTGGCACCTCAGGTTGAAAATCTATATAATGCTGATTAAATCCTCCCTGGATCCTTCAAATACCAGAGAAGAACGATCATCTTGGTGCATTTAGGATCATTTCTGAAAGGTAAACATGCTGAATAACTTAAATTCAGGATATGATCCTTTCATCTTATTTTCAAGACTAATTTTGTTTAAATACCATGACAAAACAAGATCTTACTGTGGGTTAGCTGGAAAAGCTGAAGTGACTTTCTAGAGAGAGCTCTGTATTATAGAACTTCAAACTCTGAATATCCCATGTTAGCTTTACAGAATGTAGCTGCAGGAGCATGTTATGTGTGGACTGAAAATCCGTACGAAATCAAGCATTGCATAGTTTGCAGGCATAGAGATTCAAGAAACCCATACCATTTCGGCATCTGCGGCTTGTTTCTGTTTTTCTTCTTTTTCCCTGTAGGAAAGTTACATTCATTAAGAACTGGTTCAAGTGCAGTCAGGTGAGCAAAAGCAGGCACTTCAGTGGATAATGACTGACAACTTACTGTTTAGCTCTTGCTTTAGCTTCTACTTTGTTTTGTTTCCTTTCTTCATTCTTCTTTGTACAATACTCCTCCCTTCAACAGAATAAAAGCTAAGTTAATATCACTTAAAGAATTCTATTTGAATTACTTTTTAAAGCAAGCAGTAGCCAAGAAACAGTTGAGATTATCGCTGGGAGTCGAGATGCTAGTCTCCAAAAGGTACCACTATCTGTACCTGTAAAACAGTCTAGAAACTTCTCAGGCCAACCCAGATCCTTGTCTAAATCTACGCCTGCCATTATTAGTTCATGCATCAGTTAAGCAGACTTACTTGAAAAGTACTATCAGCTCTGTGTCTTTGTACTTTTGGTTTGGGATCTCTGTGAACTTCTTAGCAGATTCAACACTATCAAAAACTGCAAATATTGAGCCCTGTTAAACAGTAAGAGACGTTCAGCGTTAGAGTCACTTCAGAAAACACTGTCCGGCAAGGATCCCTGCCCCAGGTCTAACTGCTTATCGCAAGAGCTACCTTAAATGTTCTCTGCAGTGTTCTCCTCATTTGTATGTTTTCAACCGGACCTTTATCCTCAAGCCATTCTTTGATATCATCAAGAGTTGCATCTAGGGGAAAGCCTTTCTGCAAAACAGCAACAAGCTTCAGTTATATGCAATAAACTGGCACTTAATCAGAAATTATGACCTATCTAGTAGGAGTTAATTCAAGCTTTACTGAAATGATTTTCAAAGTCATGCAGAACAGCAGAGCAAAGGAAGAAGGCTACTTACAACATACACAGATCTGTTTTTAATTGCAGCCTTATACTGGTCATTTAATTCAGGAAGGGGTTTGTTTGGAGATCTTCTGATCTTAGTTTTGTCTTCGTTTATTTCCATTAGACCAGTCTTGGATTTTCTTAGTGCTTCTACAATAACACCAAAATCTTTTGAAAGGTGACTTAACCTATTGAGTAAGCAGACACAGGTTATTACAGGCAAAGCTCAAGCACAATGTTACAACAGCATCTGGAGTTTTACGTGCAGACCAGGGACATTTGGTCCCAAATAGAGATGAGTAGCTGAAAGCTGTGCTTTCATACAAATTAGTTGTACTTTGCTTTACCTGTTGAACTTGATCATTACTTCTAAAGGTACCCAGCCATCGTCTAGTTTGATCTGTTCCTTTAGGAACTTGTCTCTTGGTAGATTGTGATTGCCAAAATAGTACTGAAAAAAATAAGGGAGAGTGGAGTGGGGAGAGAGAGTTGTCACTGAACATTCCGTCTTTAAAGCTCAATTTCATATGACAGCTTACTGCAAAGGATTGAGACATATCAAAAGTCATGAATCTGAACAATTAGAAATTATTACTTCCTGCTTTAACATCATATTTGTGGAAAAGTTAGCTGCAAGATGTAAGGTCTCAAAAACCCAGTGTGTCAGGCAGTGGAAATAATGAGGAAAAGGTAGACTGCAGTTTTGTTTAGGAAAGGCATGAAGATTACTCTGTTAAACATAATTACTGATCAACCAGAACAAGCTCTGAGGACTCAAAAGTCAAATCTGTCACCAGGTTTCAGTCCTTCTTTAAGGCATGAATAAGCAAGAATATTGTATTTGCCACACTTGAGAAATCATATACCTAGATTAGAGTTTCTAGGTATTACTCAAGCCAATACTGAAAGATTAAAATTTTGGTTTTATTTTTGTTTACTATGTTCTCATTTTGATGACATTCAGCGTGGGAGGAGCAGAGCATCACATAGTCAATAAATTCCTCAGTTCAGTACAAGACAGACAAGTTAGATTCTTCTGCTTACTGGCAGTCATCTAACTAGGATCAAATACTTAAAGCCATAGAGGAGAAGCTGAAATCCTTCCACCAATATAACTGTGCTTTAAAAAGTCAGTGCAAGTTTTACAATACCTCTCCCTCTAGTATACCTCAAACTCGCTCTCTGTTTCTTTTTTTGGTGTTTATTTTGGGGTGGCTTTTTCCCTCTACAAATAATGACTACAGCTCCATATACTAAAGGGGATTCACATGCAGCTCTATTTTTGTCCTTTAGGAAAACAGGGTTGGTTTAGATGTCATTTTAAGTGATGTGCTCAGTTTTCCATTGTAGGGCAACCCTCCAAGCCTCTAGAGTGAGAAATAGTTAAAGTAGGCACCTAAGTTTAGTTGTAATTTTTAGCAATAAATAACAAAGCAGTAAATTGTAACAGCAAGTTATGAATTGTGCTAATATTTTGACCAGCAGATTCCTGAGTAGGAGGATTTTTTCAAAAAAAAAAATAAAGACATGTAGAATTCAAATGCATCTTCCTATTTGCATAGATTTAATAACCCCAGTGACCGTAGTAATAAACTGTTTAATGACACATTCACTTGCTATAGCACCTGAAACACTAGCAAGTTAAGACTTTTGTGGTTTTGAATGGTGGTCTTACAGGCAAATCTAGACAAGTATAACTTCCAATTTAGACTACAATTATGAATTATCTTAAAAGTATTGAATGCCTATCATAGACCTGTGACATAAATTTTTTAAAAGAGCTGCAGATTCAGATCTAACTCCCTATGAAGTTAATTTCCCATTAGCCAAGTCCCTACCAAGGAATATCTCCAAAACTCATCTCAATCCAGATCCCAAACTATAAATTCAACTCACCTCAATTTGCTGACAGATTTTGCTTTCCAAAATAGACATGTTTTCACCATCTCCATTTTCAGCCATTTTTCACCAGCTGTGTTGAAGAGAATATAGAGCAAAGCATGAAATGTTGAAGAGTACTTTCTACAGACTTACATCCACATAGTGTTGCATTTCACTACTGCCTCATCTAAACAAGATGACAAGTTCTATAGCCACACATTTGTGCTTGTGAGCCAACTTGAAACATGACTGCAGAACTCCAAGGGGTAACTATGAAACAACTGGGAAAAAAAAAACAGGTCAAACGCTTTGGTTATTAAGGCAGCATTTGGCATTCTACATTCACAAAAAGTAAAAAAAATGCTGGCACTTTACAGCATTATTTGTTATTTACCACCTTCTAGGCACAGATCCTCAGCTGGTACCTAACAGCAACAAACCTGAGAGCCAACAACATTTGTTCTTTAAGTACAATCCAACCTCTCCTCACAACAAAAATTGTTTAATATTCCTAAATAGGTATAATTAGTGTCGC